TCGGGCACTTCTCACTCGCTTACTTACATATGTACCTATTCATTCATCATAATATCCCTTTTTCTTTCATTTTTTNTTTTTTCCAAAAAACCTGGCCTTTGGACCAATGCAAGCTCCTGGGGGACTATTTACTGAAATAAAATGGGATAATCCTAACGTTGATCGGCCCCCTTTGAGATGTGCCCATGCATTTGGCTTCATTTCAGAATCGTGGTGAAGATTGAATGTGTTTCTGTTCCACACATGACTTCTACATCTCGCCTCTCTATCGTCAGCTCTTCCATCTCATCATTCTGGCCATGTACCAAGTTGTCGATCTTGATGGGATAGAGAGCCTGGTATCCTGGGCGCGTGTTGTCCGGGATCAAATCCCCGTCCACTTTTTTGATAGCAGCGCCACTTCACGCTACGTCATTACCGCCTATGTGTAGCTTTGATCACCAAATCGTTTATTGGATGACATAAATGGAAGCAGTCGACGAAGTGCTAAATTGGAAGACTGACAAGCTCGACGGCGAAAGGTGACGCCTCGCTTTGAATCACTCTTCGTCTCGACTGTCAGCCTTCTCAGTTCCCACCCCAAGGACGCTGCCTCGTCAGCGCCTTCTTATCAGTGGAAAATCATCCGTTATTGAACGTTCTTGAGCTTGACGGTTCACTCCGGAAGCTATCGATTTCTTGCCAATGTCCTGACTAACAACGGTTACATGTTCATAAAAGAATGGGGAATTTGATCGCGGTAAATCCCTCCTTTTAAATTACGCCATGTGTCGACTTCTGCTCAGTATCATCGTTGTGATGTCGATTACGTATTTAGCCTACACAATGAAGCTTCGCAAGGGCTTCGCGTTTCTGAAATGTCGTTGCCAGGATTTTCCTTTTTTAACCTTATCTTTCACCAGCGAGATAGTTTCGGCATCTTCTGATTGAGAGAGCTGAGGCATTCTCAAAGGTCGCATAAATCACTCAGAACATCCCGCTATCTTCTCAACAGCGGCTAACTATGTGAGATTGTAAGTCGTTGAACCGATCTGCTCCCTATGTGACTTATATCACTACAAGTATATTTGAGCTGGTCAATATCAATTCCTTTCTGTTTGCCTGTAATTACTGTTGGGTAGAAGTGGTGTAGTGGAAAGTGACACTGTCACAAATACAGGGTCCGCAACTCGACACCCACCTGAGCTGACCAAGCCTATCATCTCTCTGGGTTGGTTTAATGGGTTCCAGACTCGTCTGAGAGGACCAAAGCACGGATCTGCGCATCGGTTGGCCCACCTCAGTTAATGTGAATGTATCACGAATACGAATTCGGGGCTATCGGCGATAACCGATTCCAAAACAGGATTGGTAATCACCAGAAACTTTGTATGGATCCCCTCAAGAATCAGTCCACCTAAGAATGTTCCCACGAGACTTGAAAATCAGTTCGAGTCATCTCGTGGTTCTGCAGCCGTGTTCACTTTTCATCTCATGTTTTCAGCTTTAATTATCTGAACTCAAATCTCTGAATTTTCCCTAATTGGGCGATGATTTTGATGGGGAAAATGCAGTTTGATGTCCTCATCTGTGAATCTATTCTGCTTCAATCAAAGAGTTCTGATTTTTGATGTTCTTATGGCTATCAAATTTAGTCCGTAACTGTCATCTCCACGTTCGATTTGCATTTTTGTTTCACAAAAAGCCATCCAAATCTGCGACGTTTTACTTATAAGGCTGTACTCCCTTTTCTTCCTTTTGCATTTTATGCATTTTGCTTTTTCATTCCTTTAGAACCTTTTACAGTATTTCATAGCGAAAGTTGTTTAATGCCTATGGCTACATCACCTCAACTACGGGAGAGGATCGAGTCTTTGGCCGATCAACCTTTCATCCCTAGGGATTGGCAAACTGGTCCAAGACTCATTTGAGGAGAACAAGACTTCAACTCTTATATCTGATCCCTTCTCCATGTCAGGCACATTGGAAGCGGACTTGAACAAAGCCAAAAACCCTTATCTTTTACCTCCACGATCATTTATCAATCCATGGCACATCTTACATTACCTATGGCCCTGTTTCATTAGCCTCAACTCGTCTGAAAGCCTCCGGACTAGTGTGAAGCTGCTGAAGGCTGTGGT